GATTCATAGTAGCGATAGGCATGACGAGAAAAGCCGACCACCGTATCGAAGATACTAAGTACCCGAACATCGTACAGACCTTCACTACCCCGTGGAGTGTAACAAACAACACTTGTTCTATCATACAATGAGGCTTCAGCTTTACTCACTCCAAAGGAGCAGCGGAAAGACTGCTTGGCCGAGAGCATTGTTGACACTTGAATACGACAAAGAGTACGTCCATGAATAGGGCCTGTAGAGGGAAGGATTTCGAGAATTTCGTTTTCCAATATGAAGTGTTGAGTTGCTTTTGAAAATTTCTTAATGGATCCTTGCAGATTGCTTTGAATCAATCTCGCTGTGTGAAATTGTGTTTGGTTTTCATAACAAATAGTATTTTTTCCGATTTTCACTTTCAGAATAGTGACGCCTTTTTTGTTGAATTGAGATGGTATCATGCAGATTAGCTCTCTTTCGTTGCAATAAGTTCTCACTTGGATTTCATTCATCTCACAATGGTATTCAAATCCAGCAGGAAAGTGACCTTGAACAATCATTTTGGTCGGAGACTGAATCAGAATATGTTCAACACGGCATTGAATACAGGTATGTGTCAGCGTTTTATAAGATTTTTGTAACTGAGCTGATACGATCTGTAGCTTTAACCTTCCCTCACTACCACTTGGAAGTAGGCACGTCAAAATTGAAGAAGACAACCAATGGCTCTCAATACTCACTTTGTGGGGAGAATGGAGCATGCAGTAAAAGGGGATGTGCTGATTGAAAGCAGAACCTAAAATCGATATTGTCCTTTCGCCACAAGTGCTTGATATGGATGGCATTATGGAAAATATATTTGGCTCCTTTGTTATATATAAATGAAAGGAATATTGCCACTCGAAAAGTGATGATTGTAACTGGATCGACAATGTGTAATTCCCAGGAATTATATCTGGAACTTTGCAGAGCAACAGTGAAGAATTCTTGTAAATAATAGACACTGAGTGCTTCAAACCAAATCGACAATTTCCAATGGCACGATCCGGATTTCTTGTACCCACGTGGATAAGGATATGACTGTGAGGAAATGCTATTGTTGGTGCTATGAAATGAACAGCATAAGTACCCGATTGATGCATACGATCTGCGTAAGGCAGATCTAATATACACGCAAAAAAGTTTGAAAATGATATTGACTGACATGTAAGCATTGTTGAGCTGTAGAGAGAAAACAAAAGTGCATCAGTCTCTGACATTTTGCATCCAGGAAGTCCAATCTCCCGTATATGCTCAGTAAAACCTTGACCAAATATAGTAATCGCTCTGGATTCTGTGCTCGAGACCCCCGTAGGATGAACAGCGTACACCGTTGGTCGCTCAAGAATTCTATACTGAATTGGCTCTGTGCCTGATCCCAAAATATGGAGAGATATGTTGCCTACTGGAAGAGCGTCGATTCGGCAATCTGCAGATTGAGGATCATTCACTGCGCAATCCAGTCTTCGTTTCCCAGCAAGTATGAGCATTTTCGCGCGGAAGCCTGTGCCATAGAGTGTGAGAAGCACCTGATTGCCCACGTAGCTGATCGTTGGCACAACCCGCAACAAGCTCAACTCATTACAGACATGTAACGGCTCCCTTTCTCCTTCGATCATGGCGTCTCCAACACTCAATGTGACTGAGAGGTTTGCAAACTCATTCAAAACTGGGCAAACGCTCGTAAGCATGGTACTAGTAATCAGATTTGCAAAACTTTCTTGTCTTCCGATCAACACACTTAAATCTAACCCATGTGCGTAGAAATTCGTTCCGTATATTGATATTTCGACTCCTCCTGAAGGCGGTATACACGTAGGAAACACCGAGAATATTCTTGGCATAGGCATGAATGTAAATGATACATCATAAGAGAAGTAATCCAGGTCATTCGTACTGATTGACAGTAATACTTTACCTTCGAGTTGGGACTGCGGACATTTGCACATCAGGAGCGACGAGGAAAGCACAGAAACTTCCTCCGCCAAATCGACTCCAAATTTGACGTAAGTGGAATTGGCAATGAAGCCTCGTCCTTTTAATGAAATTTTTAGTGTTTTCGAGACCTGTGCAACTGAAGGAAGGATGGCAGTAATTTTTGGAATTTCGGTAACCAGGAATTTTATCTTTAAAAATTCTTCCAATTTCCATTTGACAGATATTTTGAGGCTGCCAGCAAGGCTGGGAGGCATCTTGAAATATAGCTCAGATGCAGACTTGGAGGTGAAGTTTACCATTGATTCTTTCACTGCTACGTTAAAATCAGAGATATTCAAGCCCAGCGGGTTACTTATTCTCACGAGAGTCCCTCCTAGTATAGGACCAAGTGAAGGTGTAATGTCTAAGTTCATAGGGACACAGTTGATCTGTGCTGTGAGGATGTCATTTGTATCTGATATCAATTTGAATTCATGTAATCCCATCCCAAGGGGTAAGATCTCACATACTATCTCTCCCTTGGAAATCTTTGTGGCGATCATCGACTGATGTGAAATTTCACATCGATATGAATCCGATTCTGAGAATTGACCAAAAGCACGTATTGTATTCGAGGTTCCAGAGAAGATTGTATTCGGAAATATGTCAATCAGATACGATGTGTTCCTTGAGTCAAGAAAACACCCTTTCTCGCAGTTCTTTGTATCTTTGAGGTCATAAGCCACCCGATGCAAATTTGCAGGTAACTTGCAATGCACGCTTGAACAATTTTGTGCAACGTTCGACCGCTCGGAAAATTCTATTTTGGTAACGAATCGACGTAAGAACTTTAGATCAAAGTCACCTACCTCAGTCCATGATAAGGGACTCGAAACATCGCCATATTCTTCTTGAAGCTTCCAACCTGTACATTCAATCAAAACGAGTAAAGTGAATCAAATGAAATTCATACCGGCTCTCTCAACAAGATATAGTGATTTGTGACCCGATTTTCTGTAGGAAATATTGCAAAGCAATCTGATGCTCGAAATGATTGCCACTTGTAACATTTGACCATGTTCAATACAACACCATGAAGCAGCATATTGCCCAAAGCCAGTACCTTCGATGGTGATCTGTGTATCTCTGTTCACAGGCACCTTTGTAGGATACACTCGAAAGATTCTCATCACCTCAAGTAATTCGAAAGGAGTTTTGGTGAATGTGAAGCCAATGACGCTATTGCCAATCCCAATGGTTAGGTTCTGTGCTTTTCCTGGTCTCGAGATGCAATGAAGAGCCGTTGAAGAGCTTATTTGTGCCATTGACTCGCTTTCGTCTTCCAACCCAAACTTGCAGCGTATTCCTTGTCCCACATCAAAGCCTGCCCCATAAAGCAGTACCCTGGTGCCCCCTTCCGCTGGGCCCTGCGAGGGAATCATCCCAAAGACCTGTGGAGCCTCTACAAACTCATATTTTAGGGGAGTCCCAACGGCTATCTTGCCTATCCTCAAGGAGAAAGGTATGGTTCCTACCTGTCTAGATACTGGCGTGATACATCTCATATATGATGATGTCATAACCAGCCCCGTGGTATCTTGACCACCGAAGACACACTTGACAGATCCATTGAGTGGCAGGTACTCCCCTCGGACAGCTACTTCACTGCTGCTTGTTGATGGCCCAGACGATGGAAAGAGGGAATGAGCCAAGAGATCAGGTATATACTCGAATAGGAGATCGCTCTGAATTCTCTTACCAGAATCTGAAAGCAAGGAAAGTCTCACAGTCCCAGGGATCTCTGAAGGAGGTGTATAACATACAAACTCATTTTCCTGTACCTCCATCACCACTGAACCAATATTTTCCTGGAACATGCACTTCATGTCGACAGTTTGAAGCAAGCCGGTCCCCCGAACCTTCACAGAGTATCCACCTCGTGTCGTTGACATTGATGGTTCAATGGATGTCATCTTGATCCTCGTTCCAATATACAATGATTGTAAACTTGTGAATGCTTGACCATCATTCGTGTATTCGACTGAGAAAACACCGGCTCCTATGCTAAAATCCACGGAGCATTGGACGTGTGAGCTTGACAGCCATGTACTCTTCATCGGGACGCCTCCTAAGCTGCAGCTTGCTTCGATGGTGTTAGCAAAGTGGGATCCTTTGATTGTCAAAACTACCCCAGATTCCCCAGAAGATGTGATGGGGATGACACTCGTTATAGTTGGGTCGAATTCATAGTTGAAAACGATTTGCTCACTCGTTGTACCATCTTGATCTCCAGATGTGACGAGCAGATTCACAGGGCCCGGTTCATGAGGAGGAACAACACACTCCATCTTTGAGATGGACAAAACTTTGGAATGGACCATCTGATCATCAATCATGCAAACTGACTGCGTAGGGTAGAAATTGTTTCCAGAAACAGTCAATATGCGGCCTCCAGATATTGGTGAAGAGGTTGGGTAGATTGAAACGATTTCCGGATCATACAGACGATGGCTGACAAAAGGCATACATGTGCTCGACGACACGGCAATAGGAAGATCTTTGCTATGTAAGCATACGCTGAAAGTTCCTTCTGTCCCCTCTGGAGACGAGCAACGCACAAGTGAGCTTGTGACGAACTTCGATTCGGTACTTATCGTACCATATTCCTCTGCTGCAAAGATGCAGTACGAATGTGGGAGAATATTCATTCCAAGGACTTCAACCATTAACGGCCTTGCCGAGGACGCAAAGGAAGGAATGATGGACAATACTGACGGAGGGTTTTGCACCAGTAAAAGAAAATACCTCGTCATACGAACACTTCTGCTGTCGTACACACTCATCGAAAGATTTCCATACATTTCACTCGGGACTAGGCAAATCATGAGCGTAGATGAAATCCAGCTCAGAGTTGCTCGTTGAAGACCGAACTGACATCTTAGATCACTCCTAGTAGGAAAATGCTCTCCTACAATGGAAATTCTGCGAGGATTTCTTGAAACCAAAGTCGGTTGTATATGTTGTACGCGGATTGGCGGTGCACACAAGAATGTGCTCGACATTGTTTCAAAGTCTTGTCCGTTACCTGCAATTTCGATCCTAGTGTCTGTTTCATGACATCGCTCCGCAAAAACCAGCATGAGGGATGAAGACAGAACAGTTGATCGGAGCACTGCGCGCGAACCAGAAAACCGAAGGATGGACTGACTCAGAAACGTCTTTCCAACCAGGGTCAGAACAAACTTAGAGATGCTCGAGCCAGCACTGGGTTGCAATGCTAACAAGACTGGTGATTCATAGTAGCGATAGGCATGACGAGAAAAGCCGACCACCGTATCGAAGATACTAAGTACCCGAACATCGTACAGACCTTCACTACCCCGTGGAGTGTAACAAACAACACTTGTTCTATCATACAATGAGGCTTCAGCTTTACTCACTCCAAAGGAGCAGCGGAAAGACTGCTTGGCCGAGAGCATTGTTGACACTTGAATACGACAAAGAGTACGTCCATGAATAGGGCCTGCAGAAGGCGTAATCAGCATGATTTGTACTGGTTCTGTACTGAGTACAAGCCCTGTTTCAATTGCTTCCTGGGTTTCGGTTTCAATTTTGAGGGTCAAATTTGCAGGGTACCTGACTGTTGGTAACGGGCATGAAAGCCTGCTACCATTGCTCGCAATGGAAGTTATTCTTGTTTTGTAAACGGTTGCAAAGATGCATCGTCCTCGAATGAATGTTTCTAGATACTTGCCATTTACTGTCAACCATTTGAAGGTATGATTCTCGTGATCATTCCAAATTTCCAGGTCCATGAAGATCGGTATTCTTGAAATGAACAAAGGTAGTTGCGCAGTGTATGCATGGTTAACTACTATTTCAATGCTCATGTTCCTTTCCGTCGGTGTCAAGTAGCAGATAGCTTCGCTGATGGATAGCAAGTTTGTTTCCAGTTGACCATGAATTCCATGCCTGCCAATCAGATGACTTTCGACATTCTTGAAGTTTGATCCCCGGATTGTTACAGCTGTCCTTTTGAATAGATGGACAAGGGTAGGAATTATGAGCAATTGCTGCGTGTCAGTTTGCTTTGTTATGAACTCAAATTTCACATGATTGCTTTGTTTCTGACAATTCAAATCACAGAGGAACAAAACATTTTGTCTGAGGTGCAAGATGGGAACTTTGCAAAAGTATTTCTCTCCAGACAATCCAAATTCAACCAACAAAGGAGATCTGTACAGCTTGGATTGTCCAAAATGACAAAATAGACTTTCAGATTTATGCTTCATCTTGTAATATACACGCACTTTTGACAAAAAAGTTGCAGCCGATGGATTCACTTTCAACAAGAAGATTGATTCAGGAACGTAAAATGACACCGCTTCCATGCTATATTGCTGATCGTTGTAACTGATTCGAATAGAATGATTTCCAGGATACAATTTGGGGATAGAAGCGATCAGAGTTTGCTTATCCCAATGCCTGAGGGCAACTTGAATTTTACCTCCGATGCTTGCCGTCCAGGATATGTTTTCTTCATCAAAAGAGTGATTCAGACGAATATAGACTCTATTTGCATCCTGAGATCTCACTGATTGTATTTCAGGAGCAGGCAGGAAGCGGAACTCGGTTTCAAAGGATTCACAATTGGACAAAGATACAATCCGAAGTTTGACCTTTTTCTCGACGAATGAGGGAGAAATGCAATAGACTCTGTTATCAGCATACTGAATAAGCCTACCATATGAATTCTGGTCAAAGATGCAATGGAATTTTGAAGAATTCCGGATTTGCGGCGAAAGAATTCGAATTGCTGTCATTCCTTGTGTAGGTCCGACAGAGGGAGCAATGAATGCCCTCGTGATTGGAACATGCTTGTACTCAAGGTAAAAGCTATGATCATTACAAAGGACATTTAGACGTAAGACATCACCTTTTTCTTCAATTACATCACGAGCTTTCAAAACGATCTGAATGTAATCACGGTGAGTTTGATACTCAAGTTTTTGATTTGCAACATAAATGCCTGTGACGGCTGACATATTCTGGGCTCCATCTTTAAAATATAAATTTATCAAACTATGACCCTGATCTGAACTTCCACAAGACGGTTTAATCATCATGGGGTAATGCTCTCTTTGAACGATGAGTTTGATATCACGTTGAAAACTTCCAACAGATAAATCTGATTTCACCTGCACTGTGTAATTGCCGCTTGCCAAATGAGAAATCGGTGCAATCATCATGCTTGTTGATACGAATATTCCCACACCCTTCCTTGCACCCAAATTGAAAAATGATGGAAACGATTTGTCAAAATTGTTTCCAATTAAGGTCAAAGATTTCACATTCCAAGTCACGAATGTTGGAAGAATGGTAGAAATGAACGGAGGCAGAGCACAAAATAATGTCGAGTTGACAATCATCCAATTTACATCATCTAGTGAGATAAATACACGCAATTTCTTAAAGGAGGACCTGGGAGAATTCATTAGAAGCATTGTGCTTGACATAAATTTTGGATATCTTATGTCTCCGTTCGAAAACTTTACCTTCAACTTATTGTTCGGGAAATTGTTGCCGATCATTGTTACGATTTGCTCCACAAGACAGTCAAAGGATTTTGGTTTCAGCTTCAAGATATGGTCTGAATCGAAGTACAAATATCTTAGCTTGCTCCTAAACTGAGTTATCTCTCCTGAGACCATAAAACTAACTGAAATGGGCATGTGGCTTTTCGTCTTTGGAGAATCGCAAATAATGGTCGAGGAAGACGAGAATGTCGCTTTTGTTTTCAAAGCTCCAAAATGACAGTCAATTTCCAAATTTGGAAAATGATTCCCAACAAGAGTCAAACGCTGTGTATGAGATGTACTGATAGAAGGAATCAATGAATGGAATTCAGGAACTGCAATAGTGAGGGTTGTGTAGTTGAATTTGAGGCCCAAGGATGGAAACATTATAGTCAAGTAGTCATTTCCAGCCACTCCAAACAATACGGGGCATATCATGGTGGTAATATTGATTTGAATTGCATTCATGATTCCATACTTGTTTTGACAAGATGTTTCTACGTATGGAAAATCATTTCCTAGGATCGTTATCAATGCTTGCTCATTTTCTTTTACTATTGTGGGAGTAACGGTGCGTATCCTGGGAGCATGAATGGTGTGTACACTTGACATTGCAATGATTTCATCATCACCCCTGGTTAGCCAAAGTTTCGACTTTCCGAATCCTGTTTTCCATACACGGCACAGAATATCCATGCTGCTCAAGAGAACAGACTTTACAAATCCTGCTCCTTCAATCTTACACGAAAAATCTTTCATGAAATTGCTACCATGGACAGTTATGATTGATATCCTGTTGAGAAATAGATATGTAGGAGTAAAAACGACTTTGTAATCGTTTGAGAACAGAGACATATTCACGACTTGAGCACTGTTCCCGGTCAATTTCGTTGCTTGTTCAATAATCAATTCTATTCCTAGAGATCTTGAAACTATTAATCTGCTAGTAATTTCCAGCTGCACCTTCCCATTTTGAAATCTTGTCGGAGTATTACACAGCAATTTCGTTGAACTCAAGACATATACAGTGTTTAATTCGCTATATATACCATTGCTGTAAGCACATCTCAACTTTAACGGATTGGAAAATGCATTTCCAAAAACAGTTAACTGATCAAATTGATGATTGAAAAATCGTGATGGCAAAACAGAAAACATTTCAAATTCACTGAAGAATTCGAAACTTAAATTGCCTGATCCAAGTCTTTCATTTTCATCCTTACATCCTAAAGACAACCTAAAATTACAACGTTGACGAGATGCCACTTGAGGAGACAGGCAAATAGCCAGATTGGATGAAATTGTTTGAA